TCACCTAGTGACAGCTTCTACCAATTACAGGTAATAAACTTAGTGTTGACTGGTGCATCTAAACATACAGGGAGATTTTAGGAATTGTTTTTCAGACAGGTGTTAGAAGGGGAGAGAGGAAGGAGAGTAGGAGAGAAGATATTTCAAGTGAAAACACAATGTTTTATACTTGGCCTTTTTTTTAATACTATATTTTACTAATAGATTACTTGGTATTTTTAATTGGACATTTTCCCCACCTTTTCTTTACTAATTTATAACTTACACTTCTAATTTTATGACCGTTGAGTCAGTAACATCTTATTGGGTACTTTTATGAAGCAGTATTCTAATAGATGATTCTCTGTTGTGGCCCTGAAGGATGCAGTGCATGACTGAATGTGAAATTCTGTGCAGACACATGATAGAGCCACATTAAAGTGCTGTTGCCTGCGGGCCCTTTGACAGCTGTCTGCCTTGCGGTGGTATTTAAATCACTGTGAAGCATTAGAATAAGAATACCAATTTGCAACCAAAACATGCTTCCGAAGCTTGAGAACCTTCAGACCAAAAAAGCTCTAGACATCATTTTGAGAGGTTTTTGATGAGCAAATTGCAAATATTAGCACCTCTAAGCTTAAAATGTTACCTACTGAAATAAAAAAGTGAATAAATATTATTGAGTGTAATCTCTTTTCAAGTCAAGAAAGTAAAACTAGACTGAAACAAATTGAGAAACCTAAAAATAATTTTACCTCCTACCTAGATGGAGTTCAGATGGTCAGTAATCTCACCTGGGCTTTGAGCTCCTAGAAGACTATAACAGTATCTGTTTATCTTTATATATTCCAGATTGCTTAATAGACTACTTTGCACATAGAAGATGCTCAGGATATATAGAATTCCCTTTGTTTTCATTGCAAAAGACCTTGTCACTGAAAGTGGAGATTGCCACATTGCTATTCCTTAATGAGGAAGAACTCCCATCTGGTATACTCCAAGCACGTCACTGCCAAAGACCATTAAAACCACGTTGTGGGTGTCTGGGTGGCTCAGTCAGTTAAGCGTCTGCCTTCCTCTCAGGTTATGATCTCAGGGTTGCCCCACGTGTCGGGACTCTCTGTTCAGCAGGGCATTTGCTTCTCCCTCTCCCTCTGCCCCTCCACACCAGCTCGTGCTCACTTGTGCATGTGCACTCTCTCTCTCAAATGAATAAATAAAATCTTTAAAAAAAAAAAAAAAAACCATGTTGCATTTTTGTAGTGATAGACATAAATTTAAGGATATTTATGAATTGTCAGCAGCATCATAAATCCCTCTATTATCAAGTCCTCTCTGACTTGTGCTTCATGGTAATTAGAGCTAGCTTCTGGGACATGTGACCTGTGTAGTCTCATAAGGCCTTGAACTTGGCTTAATGCTTTGCTTTCACCGTCTTGAAATTACTAATAGTTTCATAACAAGAGGCTGTTGTCATTGTACTAGGCCCCACCAATTATTAGCCAGCCCTCTTGTTAGTTATTTCGGTCATATAATTCTGCTTAACAACACTATATGATAAAACCAGTCCCTTAGAGAGTTTACTTCATTTGAAAATTTTAGTCTTTTAAAAGTACTGGTTCATTATTAGAAATATTTGTAGAGAGCCCGTTCTTCCTTTCCCTCCCCACCTCTCCTTCCCCTCCCCACCTCTCCTTCCCCTCCCCACCTCTCCTTCCCATCACCGATGGAGGCAATGCCATGGAGGCATTGACCACAGCATATCTGTCATCTGAAGAAATGGAGAGTAAGGGTAGAGAGTGCAGCGATGGCAGCTTGAGTAGTTAGGAAATTGGTTACATTGAGCAAATAGACTATTTGATTTAGCAAATAAGTCAATATAATAAAGATAAAAGAGCCAGATTTCTCATTGTCTGAAGGGATTTATAAATAATGAAAGGTGGAAAATTGAACACTGGATTAGAATTGTAACTATCAGTATGAACTCGTGGGTTTTTAAAATTTACATATAGAAAAGTTATAGATGTACGTTTATGTGTGTGCATATATGAATGCCTATATGCACATACAAATATGTATGTATATACATAAATTTCTTGGTTGTTTACACTGAGAGAATCTGGAGGCAATGACACCTCAGTAGTAGTGAGCACAGTGAGTGCCCAGATCTTGATTTTTAAATACCATTCCTCACTAAAAGAAATTAGGGCTGCTTGGAAAAATGGCCAATTCCAGGGCTGGAGCAGCAAACATACAAAATAAACCTGGAACATCTTGTTGTTCTAGAAAGTAAGGAAATATTCAAAGAATGAGGACATGTCAAAAGGACCCAGAAACCAGCCTGAATACATACCCACTGGCCAAATCTAATTTAAGCAACAAAATGAAAAACATTAGCATCAGATTACAACTCTTTGAATAAAAAAGGAATCCGTGAGTTCATAGGTGAATAAGTAAATGCAGAAGAGAAAGTTCTTCCTTGCAGTACAAGCCCAGCTAATAAATGTAGAAGGGATGATAGATAATCACCAGTTTGACAGTCATAATAGGGATGGTGAAACAGGAGTCATCGGCACATGTTAGACTAGCAGTTGGAGGGTTGATGAGGAACAAGATTTGTTCTGATACTGTGTAAAGAGGTGTCCTTTTTGCAATCTACTAAATTACCCATTTTTCACATTTTTGTGCTTTGTGTTGATTTTGCTGTTTAAAATGGCCCCAAGCATAATGCTGAATTGCTGTCTAGCATTTCTAAGCACAAGAAAGCTGTAATAAGCCTTCTGAAGAAAATAAATATTAGATGACCTTCATTAAGGCATGAATTATACTGCTGCTAGCCACAAGTATTAGGTTAATGAATAAGATATATGTTAAATAAAGTATCTTTACACAGAAATAAAATAAAACAGGGTTATGTATTGATCAGTTGAAGAAAATGTGACTGAGTCTCACAGAAACCTAACCCTGCATTTTCTGTAGGGGCAGTGTTTGAGTAATTGCTAATACAGTGCTCATGGCACCTTTATAGAATTTAAGCGCAGTGAATAACAAGAATCAAATGTATCTGTCATTTAATGGGTACTAACAGTGATTGCCAGTGATTTTATCAGATTAATGTCATGTATAACAGGATTTTAAATTTTACCTGTAAGTCATGAAAATACATGTATTTGTGAGTTATTTATAAAATATTTCAGAGTAAATGGGGCGCCTGGGTGGCTCAGTTGGTTAAGCATCTGACTTCAGCTCAGGTCATGATCTCAGGGTCCTGAGATCAAGCCCCAGAGCCCCACATCAGGCTCTGAGCTGAGTGGGGAATCTGCTTCTAACCTCTCCCTCTGCCCCTCTGCCACCTTTTGCGCACACGCTCTCTCTCTCTTTCTCAAATAAAACCTTAAAAAAATGTTTCAGGGTAAAAAAGGGCATTTAGAAGACTTGAACTTTGGCTTATATAATATGAAACAGTAAAATATTTAAAACCGTATATTTGCACATTCTTTGCCAAAATAAACCATATTTTTTTTTACTTCAATAACCTTCATTTAGTTGCATCTGATTACTAATTTATTTTTTTTAAAGATTATTTTTTTTGAGAGAGAGCGTGACAGGGAGGGGCAGAGGGAGAGGGAGAGAGAGTCACAGCAGACTGCTCGCTCGGCACGGAGCCCCATGCAGGGCTCAGTCTCACAACCCTGAGATCATGACCTGAGCTGAAACCAAGAGACGGCTGCTTAAACAACTGCACCACCCAGGCGCCCCTGCTGATTTAAAATATATTTGATTTTAAGAAATTGTAGTTCCAAAGATAGAAAGTTAATTTTTTTTTTACTAAAAACTCTAAGTAAACCATATATATTAACTAATCACTCTAAAATATATTATTTAATATCACCCTCACTCTTAACTCGCTGGTGTGTCATTGTCTTAAAGAATTTTGGCTTATCATTGCTTTATGTAATGTCTAATGGAAACTCTACTGGCTTCCAGAGCCTAATAGATTCACGTGTATAGCTTTTAATGCTAATTGATTGGCTTTTGATACTTTTGAGTGAGTGAGAAATATCTTACTAGAATCAAATGGGTGAATTAGCTAATTGTATATACTTAACATTTGGAGGGATAAGTAAAAAGAGAAGAAAAAGATTCAAGTTGATTCAAAAGCAAATGAGAAGAAAAGATATTTGGTGTATTCTTCAAATCTTTCTTCTAATCAACCAAATATTAGAAAAAACAAATTGAGGACTTGTCTTTGAATAGGAAACAGATGTGCTAAGCATATTCAGATTTTTTTTAACTTTTATCTTCAGATGCTGATTTTTGTCTAGAAGAGGGTGTTGGGGACTACTAAAATAAAGCTCATAACTTCAAATTTTGATTGAAATCTCCTTGGTGCCTGGCACTTTATGCTGTATTAATGCCAGGAAATAAAATTTATCTCCTCTTATCTTTAGGCAAGCTGTTAATCTTCTAATGCAGAGTCACTTCTAATTTAGATTTCTAGGAAACTGGGAGGGGTGAAGGGAGTATTCTTCGAGTCCAGTTGTTGGCTGAGCCAGGCTTTTGAGCTTCCTGGTTACTTGTCATTCAGCAACTGTATGGGCAAGTGTTTATAAGCTTTATTAATAAAGAAGTGCATTGATAATAATTGTTATTTCTCCTCTTTAAACAAATCGGATATTTAAAAAGACAGTTGTATTTCTTGTTTTGCTGAGTGCAAATATATCTCTTCAGCCAAAAATCATTACTGATGGTTATCAGACATTTGTTTTACACTTTGTGATCTTATAAAGTGATTTTCATCGGGTGTTTCTCACAAAAACCCTGAGTGGTAGGTGAATATTATGATTTCATGGATGGGAAAAGAGGGACAGAGAAGCTCTGAACCTTGCTTCCTGTTTAGAATATTCTGCTTTTCTGATCTGCTTTGTAGGTTTTTGTTTCCTTTTTTTATTTAATATCCCTGCCTTACTGCTGTAGAGAATGATTTATATTTTACAACAGCTGATGTTTTTCTTTTGCAGAGATATTCCAATGCCCTTAGTCAGTTCAGGAGTAGAGCATGGTAATTTGAGAGAGCTGGCATTTGCAAGAATGAAGGACCTTGGAATACAGGTAAGAGTCTGACCTTAACCCTTAAGATCAAAGTAATCTGAAACACAAAACACTTTGATACATACTTACAGACTCACAAGTTTGGTCAAAAAGTTTCATATGAAGGCATTCTTACTCTGTAACATGAAGTTGAAACTAGTGCTTGCAAAGGCTGCATCTTATCCCTTACACCCCTCTGCTTTCTTCCAAAGGGGTGTAGGTTTGCTGATTTAAGGATTGCTTTTTCACCTGCTCAGATGCCAACTATGTGTGCTCAACTCTCTTTTTTAAATTTTGAAGTATTTCTTTTTTTCTTTCTTTTGAAGTATTGGGTGTTCAATTTTTTTTTTTTTTTTAAAGATTTTATTTATTTATTTGACAGAGAGATAGCACAAGCAGGCAGAGTGGCAGGCAGAGGGAGAGGGAGAAGCAGGCTCTCCGCTGAGCAGGGAG